CCGCTCCTGGGCATATGCCTAAAGGAAACAAAATCACCACCCTGTAAAGATAACTGTGTTCCCATGTTCATTGAAGCATTATTCACAGGAGCCAACATATGGAAACAACCAAGGTGTCCATCAACAGACGAATGGATAAGAAATGATGCCATAATAATTTACATACATACCATGGAACTTCAGCATTAAAAAGGGAAGTCCTGCCATTTGCAACAACAGGGATGAAGCTGGAGGAGGACATCATGTTAAATGAAGTAAGCTAGACACAGGAAGAAAAATACTGCATGATTCCACTTATATGTAGAATCTTTAAAACAAACAAACAAACATCAACAACAACAAAAACAGTAAAATAGTGGTTACCGGGGTGGGGGAAATGGGAAAAGGTAAGTCAACATTGCAATTATGTAGGATGGACGAGCCTAAGAGATCTAATAGACAACATGAGGGCTTATAGTTAATAAAATTGTATCATATACTGGTAATTTGCCAAGAGAGTTGATTTTAGGTACTTATCACACACATGAGTATGTTATGATGCGTATGTTAATTTGCTTGACACATGGGTATGAGTATGTTAATTTGCTTGACCTTGATATACTGTATATATCAAGTTTATCAAAACATTGAACATATTAAATATATACAATAAAAAGAACATAAGAGGATATAGATATGTATATAACAAAGGAAGGGGAAAAATGAAAATAAAGTTTTATTTGATGAAACAACAAAAATATGTATAGTTCTTTTTCTTTTTTTAGAGACAGGATCCCACTATATTGCCCAGGCTGGAGTACAGTGGCTATTCACAGGTGCAGTAATAGTGCATTATAGCCTTGAACTCCTGGGCTCAAGTGATCCTCCTGCCTCAGCCTGCCAAATAGCTGGGACTATAGGTGCACACCACTGTGCTTGTCTCATTTTTGATATAAATTCTTAAAACAGGAATACATGGATTCCTGATTAATAAAAAAAATCCAGCATTATGCTAAATCAAACAATGGACATATTGTTTAGGATTCAGACAAGCAATTTTACTCTCACCATATTTAATATTTTGGATATTTCAGAGCATTTAAACAAGTGTAAAAATTAAGTAGCCAAACAGTATTTTTCCAGGTATATTGAAGGAGTTGAATAAAAGATATTTGCCATAATTCAACAAGATAGCTGAAATCAATAGCTTTTCTATACACAACTAGTTACAAAGTATAGCAGAAGAAAAATCCCATTTCCAACATCCAAAAGACAAACCTTTAAAAATATGCAAGACCTAAATGGTAAAAATTTGAAAACTGAGACACACAAAGACCATTTGAACAAATGGAAAAACATATGCCGTTCATGACCAACATGGTAAAACCCCGTCTCTACTAAAAATACAAAAATTAGCTGGGCGTGGTGGTGGGTGCCTGTAATCCTAGCTACTCAGGAGGCAGAGGCTGCAGTGAGCCGAGAACACACCACTGCACTTCAGCCTGGGTGACAGAGTGAGACCCCATCTCAAAAACAAGACATACAGTCATGTTTTTAGATAGAAGCCTCTGTATGATTAAGCCTGTTCTTATTAATCTATTTATTTAACTTGATCTCAATAGAAGTACCAATTTCCCCTCAAGAACCAGACAGCTAATTTTAAAGTTCATATTGGGGAAAAAAATGCAAAAAAAAAAAAAAAAAAATCCAGGAAAATTCTGAAAGAATGAGAAAAGTTTAACTTCCCCTTAGCAGTTATGAAAAATATAAATATCCAAGTACAGCAACTTAAAACTGCAAAATAAATAAGACAATAAAAAATAAAAATTTAGAACTGCATTAGGTACATGAAAATCAGGTCCTAGAACAGAAATAGGTTAAAATTCATGTAGATTTAGTACTAATATGGGTGGCATTTCAGGCATTGGTGGATAGACTTCAGATGGATCAAAGAACTCTCAAACACAAAAAGACGTGTTAAAGATTCATATACATAAAAGTGGCCGGGTGTGGTGGCTCACATCTGTATTCCCAGAACTTTGGGAGGCCAAGGCAGGCAGATCACTTGAGGCCAAGTGTTCGAGATCAGCCTGGCCAACATGGCAAAACCCCATCTCTACTAAAAATGCTGCGCAACACGGCGAAAGCCCATCTCTACCAAAAGTTAAAAAATTAGCTAGGCATGGTGGCACGCACCTCTGGTAGGAAGGCTGAGGTGGGAGGACTGCTTGGGCCCATAAGTCAAGGGCTGCAGTGAGCTGTGTTCATGCCACCACACTCCAGCCTAGGCAACAGAGCAAGACCTTCTCAGAACAAAACACAGCAAAAAAATCAGATAGAAATTAAGATAATCTGGGACAAAACACTTTCAAACTTCTAACTGTAAAACTGCATGTATAAAGTACTAGAGCTCTTTAAATAGGCAAAGGAGACTACAAATGGCTGATTTAAAAATAGTCTTATTAATAGAAATGCAAATATAAGCTACAAGGAAAACACCATTTTTCTATTAGTTTGGCAAAGGTCAAGAAGTTTCTTGGCACAACTATGAAAAAACAGACATCCTCATCCATTGCTAATGGGAGTATCAATAAACTCCGGATGACAGTAATTGCAGAATACCTTTTTACTCAACTTCTAATAATGTATCTTCTAGAATCACAAATGTCCATAGAGGAATGTAAGACTGTTCATTACAGGCTTTTTCTTTGGTAGTAGCAAAAGACTAGAACAATCTGCTCACTAGGTACTATTTAAACAAATTATTACATATCCATAAACTGGAATACTATGTAGCTACTATTAGAAAAGTCCATCATCAGATAAAGACACATGGTTCAATAAAAATGTAAGATGAAGAGTGCCTATGCTCATTTGCTTAAAAATGCAGGGTGACAAACATAGCAGTTGTGCTAATTTATGCACATATTTTAGGAGAATACACGTAAAACTGGCAAATAGCTGATTCCAGGGAGGAGATGGACTGAGAAGGGATCCCTAACCCCCAGGCCGTGGTCTAGTACGGTCCATGACCTATTAGGAACCGGGCTGCGCAGCAGGAGGTAAGCAGTAGGTCAGAGAATGAAGCTTCATCTGTCTTCACAGCTGCTCCTCATCCCTCGCATTACCACCTGAGCTCCCCCTCCGGTCAGATCAGCAGTGGCATTAGATTCTCATAGGGAGTGCAAACCCTATTGTGAACTGCGCATGTGAGGGATCTAGGTTGTGCATTCCTTATGAGAACTAATTCCTGATGATCTGAAGTGGAAGTTTCATCCTGAAACCATCCCCTGTAACCTTGGGTCTGTGGAAAAAAACTGTCTTCCATAAAATCAGTCCCTGGTGCCAAAAAATTGGGTACCGCTGCTTTACAAAGTGAAATTTTAAAAAGATGTTTTACCTGTTTTTAAAAACTTAATCCAAAAGCAAAAGTAATTTAGATTCAATGCCCGTTTTAATGTTTGAATAGCATAGTTTCTTTGCTATGATCAAACGTTTTGAGAATCAGTCAAATGCTATTAATTCAGAATCAAGTCTGACATTTCTGAAATAGTGAAAATTAGAGTATATAAATTTGAAAATGTCAAGTAATTTTAATGAACATTTAGCAATATGAGCAGAATTTGTGCTATTCAGTTATACAAATCCAAGGCTTCCCTATTTAAAATAGGAAAAAAATCACTGTAAATCTTTCTAGCGATATTTGTTAGAAGAAAAAAAAGTCAACAGTTGGTTATAAGAGTGAAATGGCTTATACTGAAAGTAAGACACACAGTGGATCCTATTTGTTCATTTTCATAGGTAGCTTTATTTGGTTTTTAGAAAAATATATACAATAATCGGAACCTCAGTTCTTAAATAGTTTTAAATTAAAAGTATACAAGAGGATATGTTTCCACAGTCAGAACATCAATACTGCTTAATAATGTAGATAGGAATTTCTGCAACAAGTCAAAACATTTACACAACTCAGGAAGAGCAGCTTGTGGCTGGCAAGTCAGCCAGCTCAGAAAACAGGTAGGAGGGGAAGAGGTTTGATCTTTCCCCTTTAGTGTGAATTTGAGAAAGTGATGAAAGATTTACATGTTCACGTATCCTAAAGGCTAGAGCTTTCAATAAAAACATTAGAATGTAGGGGCGGAGGCCCTCTAGGGCGTATGCTAACAAGCTAACTTGGATCAAACAAAAATTTGCCATCTCAATTTGGTATTCAGTTGGATTTGGATATATTAGGATTACCTGTCAGTCACAGTTCAACTAGTTCAGATACAACAAAACTCAAGGATTTGGAGTATTTGTTAATGACATTTCTTTTGGATCAGACCCCTGCTTTCTCTTGAACATTCTTCTTAATGAATTCACAGTATTCAGTGTTTGCAAAAGATACTTGAGTTTGACAGCCCTCTGACTTTACATCGTTTTGAGAAGTTGCGCAAGGAAGCAATAGGAATTGCCTTAGCTTTGTGCCAACTCGGCCCTTCTCCCCCATACTGTAGTAACTCCAGGCCTACTTCTCCAGTAGTATAGCTCTTCCCTCCACTGGTCCTTTTCAGGAATTGAAGTCTAATCAGTGCGCCAGCCAGAGGCCAGTTTGTCATGGGATTTCCTGGGGAGCTTAAATGGAAGTGGATCAGAGAACTGATACCAGTAGCCACCTCCTTTCCTCGTTGTATGCATTTGCTAAATAAGCAAAGCAATGAGGCAAATGTCACAAGCAACATCAGGCTTCCAAGTCTACAAACACTTGTCTGAATGAGAGAGAGGTGATAGGCAATAGGCAAATTAGTAGTAGAGCTAGAGGTTCAATTAAGAATGAGAGGAGAGTGATCGGTATTTTGTTCTCTGTTCATCTATTTCCTGCTTAGTTTTCTTGATGCAACTAAAGATCTCCTTAAACAACGCTTTGTATTCTGGAGGTGTTGTAGGGCAACTGACGGGCTCTGGGTTGACAGAGGCCAGTTCCCAGCCGCTGGCAACAGGCTCAGACTGGGCGTTCACTCCAGTCAGGTCCTTGGCCGGAGCCCTGGAGGTCTGTACAGCCTTGTGTGACAGGGAGTCCTGTTCCTGTTGGCACTTCTTCAGCAGCTCTTCATACTTCACCTTCAGGGCACTGTACTGTGTGTCCACTTCATGCAGAAGGGAGATGCCCCTCTGTTTCACAGCCTTGGCCCTCCTGATGCAGGTCTCCTCGTGGCCCTTCACGATGTCACTCCCTGCCAAGCTGCTGAGGATCGTCTCACTGCTGCTGCGCTTGAGAGGCTTTCTATGTGGTTCCGGCACAGTCAGGAACATCTCTTCCAGCAGGCTCTGGCTGGGTTCTTTGAAAGGAACAAACAGAGAGTCTGGCACCAGCTTCTCAACCCCATTCACAAATGGATGCTCTGACTGCAACATCTGTCGCATCTCTGCCACCTCAGCCTCTAGTTCCAGCGCCCGTGCTCGGTAGGCACCTGTGGCCCCCAGCTGCTGCTCCAGTTCACTGTTCTCCTTTAACACCAGTCCATATTCCTCCTCCATAGTCACCCGCTTCTGCCGCTCCAGGCTCAGCTGGGCCTGCAACATTGTCACCGTTTTTTTCAAGTGCTCATTTTCCTCTTCATCAGGGCTTGGCTGACTTTGCAAGGAAGTGATCTTTTCAGCGAACACATGATCATACACGAAGTGTCTAGGGAAAAAAATATTGAAAGAATGTATTACACAGGTCCACTGAGAATGAAGTGAGGAAGACTGGTGATTTTTTTTCAACTAAATAAATTTGAGGAGCTGTGACAGTGACTGATTTTTTTTTTCTTTTTTTTTGAGAGGGAGTCTCACTCTGTCGCCAGGCTAGAGTGCAGTGGAGCGATCTCAGCTCATTGCAACCTCAGCCTCCCGGGTTTAAGCAATTCTCCTGCCTCAGCCTCCCAAGTAGGTGGGATTTTAGGCATGCGCCACCATGCCTGGCTAATTTTGTATTTTTAGTAGAGACGGGATTTCTCCATGTTGGTTAGGCTGGTTGGTCTCCCAACCTCAGGTGATCCTCCTGCCTCGGCCTCCCAAAGTGCTGGGATTTACAGGTGTGAGCCACTGCACCCGGCCGACAGTGACTGATTTTTAGCCACACTGGAGCAGTGGCTAAAATGGAATTGTGTGAGGCTGGTAAATAAACACATGAAAGCAAACTCAGTTTTTGCGATGAATCTTTTCTTAATGTTGAAAGTACTAAAGAACATCTATTCCCAAAGACTGGCAGTATGCCAATGACCTCACAAGGGAAACCTTAAAAAGTACTGGTGCCTGGGTCCCAACCCACAGATTCTAACCTAGTTGGTCTGCTACCCGGCCTGAGGGTTTCTAAAGGCTCTCCAAATGATTCATAATACATAATTACGATTGAATCACTACAGCAAATTACTGTTGCTGTGGTGTTTAACCAGGAATGTTCATCAGAATTGCCTGGGCAGCTTTTTACCCACACCCAGAAATTCTGATTTAGGCCTGAGGGAATGTGTTGGTATCTGCATTTTGAAAAACTCCACAGGTGATCTGATGTGCAGCCAAAGTTAAGACCCACCAAATGAACCACCTGATTTCTCCTGCTCAGTCCAAGGCACCTTGCTTGACTATTTATTTGTGTTTTTATTTGCTTATCTGCCGTTCCGTTAGACCGAAAGCTCACAGGGATAGGAACTCTATTCTGCTCACCAGCCCTCAGGTCTGGCATAGAGCTTGCCATACAACAAGTGTTCCACAAATACTTCTTAAAGATTCAGACTTGTAACTCTAAATTATAAAGGTACTTCTTTAAGCAAAAAATCTTCTGTTTGCTTGAATTTTTGTTTTACCAATATTTCTATAGTCTATCAGAAGTCATTCATCTTAAACTATGATTTAACACGTTAAAAGCCCTGAAATAAGTGCTCTAAGACTTTCAAAATAAGAATTACTAATATATAAGAACTGTGTAATTTATATGTTTAAGTGATTTTGTTCAAAACCAATGGTAGCTTAATAGCTAAGTGACATTTCTTAAAATGGTACTTTCAATCTACTGGAATTCAGAATGTGCCAATGACATGAGACAGTCCCTGCTGTAACTCCACAGACAGGTAGGCTCTTACTGGCGGAGATCATACAGCTCCTTCAGACATGCAAAGCTGGGTGCCGGTTTCTCCTGGTCACACTTCCCCTGGCTCCTTCTCCCTCTGCCAGATGACTTCAGCTCCTCCACTTGGCTCTGCAGGTGATCAATGTTGGTTTGCAGGCATTCAATCGTTTCAGTCAGGCTGTAAGGAACAGACAGAAGCCACTGCTGCTTGTCATACTGAATCAAGGGCAAAAGCAGTGAGGAGAGATTAGATGCGAGCCACTCACATTGGGCTTTCTTAATTGGAAAGGACATCTATTTAATCTCCATTCTCCAGAAAGAATTAAACTAAACTTTATCCCATATTGACCTAAACCCACTGCAGCCATGTTCTATTCTAGTTTATACTGAAGAACTTCCCTCTAGGCCTTCCTTGTCAGATTCTAGAAAATTTACCTCAGAATCTTTTGCTGTGAGGCCTTGCTGTCAGCAACTAGTTTTTGATTTGTTTCTTCCAGTTCCCTTGCTGTGACATCTAATTGTTCATAAACCTTTGCATGTTGTTCGTTCATCTGCCGTAGAAGCTCCACTTGCTTGGTCAGATACTGTAAGAGAAGATCAGGACCAGGTGACACAAACAGATAAGATACCTGCTGTTCCTTGGCTGGCCATGGTGGCTCA